CCTCCTGCGGGACTCGATGAGCCCAAGGGACTGGGCATCCTTGCTGTGACTGAGGGCCACAGTGACTGGTCTCCATGCTGGACTGAGGAGCACAGGGACTTGGTCGCCTGCTGGGAACTCTGAGGACACAGGGACTGGCCTCCCTGCTAAGACTTCTGAGGGAGCACAGGGATGGCCTCCTGCTGGACTCTGAGGACACAGGTACTGGCCCTCCTGCTGGGACTGAGGAGCACAGGGACTGGCCTCCTGCTGGGGAACTCAGAGAGCACAGGGACAGTCCTCCTGCTGGGACTGAGGAGCACAGGACTGGTCTCCTGCTGGGACTGGAGGAGCACAGGGACTGGTTCTCCTCTGGACTCTGAGGAGCCCAGGGACTGGCCGCCTGGTCTGGGACTGAGGACACAGACTGGCCTCCTGCTGGGACTCTGAGGAGCACAGGATGCCTCCTCGATGGGACTCTGAGGAGCACAGACTGCCCTCATCTGGGACGCTGAGGAGCACAGGGACTGGTCCTCCTGCTGGTCCAGAGTCCAGGACTAAACAGTGGGAAGCAGTGTTTCAGATTTTATGCAGCTAAAACAGTCTTCCTAAAACGTGAGACGGGCAATATTCAGAATCCAGGTTAAAAACAGATTTTAATCCTGACGTTTCTATTTAAGCCTTTTCTTGTGATTGGCCGTGTGTAGACAGGGCTATACCAATAACCTTGCCTAATGCTAAAGGGTTATGAACCAATGACATCAGGACTTTTCCGCGTGGCCTCGCCCAGCATTTTGTGTTACAATTTGAGTAAACTTCTGAACCATCAAACGACAGAATATAAATAACATATGTACATGAAGATACTGATACAGGTTAAAAATCAAAGATATACAGAATACATACAGGTGAACAGAACCATGAACAGAACCATGAACCGAACCATGAACAGAACCATAACACGTCACAGCAGAGGAGTCATTCTGTGTCCTCCTAAAAACAACAAAGTGCCACAACCAGGTCTCTCCCCTGGTCTCCTCCCCTGAACTCTCCCCTTGGTCTCTCCCCTGGTCTCTCACCTGGTCTCTTCACCTGGTCTCTCCACTGTCTCTCCCCTGTCTAACCATTCAAGCCAAACCGGAGGGGAAAACAAAAAGAAGGCAACTGTGGATTCGTGACCAAAAATGGCTCTTGTGCGCCGAGAAGCAGTCAACAGTCCCCCAGCAACAAACTGCTTTCTTCTTTCTACAAGTACCTTCTCAGGACGGACCAGCCAATCAGAGGAAGGCAGATCCCACGGCCAGACACGGGAGCACGCCGTCCATGTGATGAACTCTTTGGACCAGATTGTGAACTTTGTTTTGTTTTTTAGGACGGACACAGAATGACTCTCATGCTCTGGCGTGTTCATTGTTCTCGTTTCATCGGTTCTGTTCATGAGGTTCTGTTCAACGTTCTGTTCACCCTTGATGTATTCTGTATTCTTTTATTTTATTACACCTGTATCCGTATCTACATGTACATAAGTTTTTTTATCTCTGTCGGTTGGATGGGTTCAGAAGTTTACTCAAATTTAACACAAAAATGCTGGTGCGAGTCCACGCGGAAAATCACTGATGTCATGATGTTTTCAAACCCTTTAGCATTAGGCAAGGTTAGTGGTATAGCACAGTCCACACACGGCAACTCCCAAGACAAGCCTTTAAATCAGAAAGTCAGAAATAGATCTGTTTTTAACCTGGATTTGAATATTGCCCGTTCACGGTTTCTGGAAGACTGATTTAAGCTGCATAAATCTGAAACACTGCCTCCCCATGTTTAGTCCTGGACACTGGGACCAGCAGAGACCAGCCCCCTGTGCTCCTCAGAAGTCCAGCAGGAGGCCAGTCCCTGTGCTCCTCAGAGGTCCCAGCAGGAGGCCAGTCCCCATTTGCTCCTCAGAGTCCCAGCAGGAGGCAGTCCCTGTGCCTCCTCAGGTCCCCGCAGAGGGGCCAAGTCCTGTCTCCTCAGAGTCCCAGCAGTAGACCAGATCCCCTGTGCCCCCTTTTTCCCCACCTCAGTCCCAGCAGGAGACCAGTCCCTGTGCTCTCAGTCCCCAGCATGAGGGCCAGTCCCTGTGCTCCTCAAGTCCCAGCAGGAGGCCAGGTCCCCAGTGCTCCTCATCCCGCAGGAGCCGAGTCCCTGTGCTCCTCAGAGTCCAGCAGGAGGCCAACCCTGTGCTCCACAGATCTTAGCAGAGCCAGTCCCGGTGCTCCTCAGAGGTCCAGCAGGAGACCAGTCCCTGATGCTTCCTCAGATCCCAGGCAGGAGACCAGTCCCGTGTGCTCGCCAGTCCCAGCAAGGAAGGCCATCCCTGTGCTCATCAAGTCCCAGCAAGGAGGCAGTCCCTGTGCTCCTCAGTCTTAGCAGGAAGGCCAGTCCCTTGCTCCTCATAGTCCCCAGCAGGAGTCCAGTTCCCTGTGCTCCCAGAGTCTTAGCAGGGAGGCCAGTCCCTGTGCCTCCTCAGAGTCTTAGCAGGAGGCCATCCCTGTGCCCTCAGTCCCCCGGAGGGCCAGTCCCCTGGCATCCTCAGATCTTAGCAGGGAGGCCCAGTCCCTGTGCTCCTCAGAGTCCCCCAGCAGGTGGCAGTCCCTGTGCTCCTCAGAGTCCCAGCAGAGGCCAGTCCCTGTGCTCCACAAGGCTACAAAGCAGGAGGCCAGTCCCTGAGCTCCTCAGAGTTCCACGTGGTTCTTATAGCATATAACATTAGGTGCGAGACTTAAAGCAGTGTCTCTCTGTTCAAAGCTCAATGTAACAATCTAGATACTTATTCTGTCTGAGCCCAAATGGTCACATAGTGACTCACAGGGACTGTTGGATCACTCAGCACAATGACCTGGGTAGATGACGTCGGATTTATCGACAATAAACACATTCTCAACACTTTTTCTATCGCGACAATCAACAATTCAGTCTCGAAACAAAACTTAGTTCAGCAGCTTTAAGTTTTCTAATAAATAATGTTTAACTGTTTTTCATCACAACAATTCTATTCAATGGGTTTTAGCCTCGTCAAAGACTTTACCAGATGTTGTCGAATCGTCGACACGATAGAAAATCAAACAGACACAGTGCGTGCTCTTCTCTGGTCTCTCTTCTGGTCTCTCTCGTTCTCTTTCTGGTCTCTCTCTGGTCTCTCGTCGGACTCTCTCTGGTCCACTCTCTGGTCTCTCTCTGGTCTCCTCTCTCTGTCTCTCTCTCGTCTGCTCTCGGAGTCTCTCTCTGGTCTCTCTCTGGTCTCTCTCAGGCATCTCCTGGTCCTCTCCTCTCTGGTCTCCTCTCTCTGGTGTCTCTCTGGTGTCTCTCTGAGTTTCTCTCTCTCTGGCTGCTCTGGTCTCTCTCTGGTCTCTCTCAGGTCTCTCTGGGCTCGCTCTCTTATTCTTCCCTCTGGTGTCTCTCTGGTCTCTCTCCTCTGGCCTCACCTCGTCTCTCTCTGGTCTCTCTGGCCACTCTCCTCCTCTGGAGACTCTCTCGTCCTCTCACTCTGTTCTCTCTCGGTCTCTCTATGGCCTCTCTCTCTGGCCTCTCTCTGGTCTACTCTCTGGTCTCTCTCTGGGTCTCTCCTCTCTGGTCTCACTCTCTGGTCTCTCTCTGGACTCTCTCTGTCTCTCTCTGGCCTCTCTCTCTGGCCCTCTCTGTGCTCTCACGGCCTCTCTCTGTCTCTCGCTGGTCTCTCTCTGGTCTCTCACTCTGGTCTCTCTCTCTGGGTCTCCTCTCTGGTCTCTCTGGTCTCTCTCTGGTCCTAAACAGTGAAAATAGTAGATTCTCACCTAAACAACATCTAACATAAAAAAACATCAAATATCAGATATAGTTTCAAATGAGTTCAGTTTCGAATCTCATTTAACATTTCAGTTTTTATTTTGTATAAATTGTAATGAAAATAAACATTTAGCACAGGTACAAAAGACTGAGCCGGGTTAATACTTTTACTTTCACTTCAAAGGCTCTAAATCTCACCTTTTCCCGCGTGGCCCGGTTCAAGACCTCTGCAATGCTGTATATTTTTATATGCTGTTTTTTTGACGACTGACTGGACAGGATCTCACACCGTTTTCCATGGTACCACTTTTGATATACTCATTTTAAAAACAAGTCTCCTCCTCCCCTCTCTACGATGCAGTTAAGGGAATGTCTGGTAGTTTTTGAATTTATATGTTTACTCCATGTTCTGGCTGAAAACCAGGAAAGGCCTTGTTCTCGATGTTGGTTTGTTGCGACAGGATCCGTGGGTTGTGTTCTTCTTCGAGGATTGGTGTTTTCTTTCTAAAGATCATTTATTGACGTTTTTCTCTGTACGGCATAGGCGCTGTACGAATTGTCCACAAAGTCCGTATTCTCACTTGGCATAAAATCAATTTTTAAATAATATTGGGTTGTTTTGTGGTTTGTGCTGATATGACAAGGGGGCGGGGTCTAGCTATGATGTCACAGATAGGAGAGATTCGACCCGGAGCGTTCTGTGAGGGCCAGAGCAGAAACATAGAGTGAAAAGTGATTGAGAAAATAGTATAAAAATGCTGAATTAGCAAAACTATGTGTCCGTAATTTGGGAATTAGATCGATAGAAGAGTTTTAAGACTTTTCAAGTGGATCTTCTGAGGCCTGCAGTACGGAGGCGTGTCGAGTAGTGGGCTGTCGGGTAATGACGTCACTACTCGACACCCCACTCCCCGCGTGTATGAGCATGATCTATTTTTTTAATAAATTACGGTATAGTAGTAGTGAGTACTATTCTATGCCCAATGAATTTATGCGCAATAAATTAATTGTTTATGGCCAATGTCATCTGTCAGTATTATTTATTGGGGAAAATGGACGAATTTAGTAAATATCAAGAAGGTAGTAATTTGCCTACAAAAGCTGCCAGATACTTAGACTATCAAATCAATAGGGGATTGAAGCAGCTCAGGACAAAAGTTAATGAGTCAAATAATGCCCAGTGCATATGTCTAATTGTACTTTTCATTTATAAAAGGGGCCTAGGCCGAGTCTGTGGCCGAGTCTGTGGCCTGAGTCTGTGGCCTGAGTCTGTGACCTGAGTCTGTGGCCTGAGTCTGTGGCCCGAGTCCGTGGCCCGAGTCTGTGGCCCGAGTCTGTGGCCCGAGTCTGTGGCCCGAGTCTGTGACCTGAGTCTGTGGCCTGAGTCTGTGGCCTGAGTCTGTGACCTGAGTCTGTGACCTGAGTCTGTGGCCTGTGTCTGTGGCCTGAGTCTGTGGCCTGAGTCTGTGACCTGAGTCTGTGGCCTGAGTCTGTGGCCTGAGTCTGTGACCTGAGTCTGTGGCCTGAGTCTGTGGCCTGAGTCTGTGACCTGAGTCTGTCTGTCTGTGACCTGAGTCTGTGGCCTGAGTCTGTGTCCTGAGTCTGTGGCCTGAGTCTGTGACCTGAGTCTGTGACCTGAGTCTGTGGCCTGAGTCTGTGACCTGAGTCTGTGACCTGAGTCTGTGGCCTGAGTCTGTGACCTGAGTCTGTGGCCTGAGTCTGTGACCTGAGTCTGTGGGCTGAGTCTGTGACCTGAGTCTGTGGCCTGAGTCTGTGACCTGAGTCTGTGGCCTGAGTCTGTGACCTGAGTCGGTGACCTGTGTCTGTGACCTGAGTCTGTGACCTGAGTCTGTGGCCTGAGTCTGTGGCCTGAGTCTGTGACCTGAGTCTGTGACCTGAGTCTGTGGCCTGAGTCTGTGGCCTGAGTCTGTGACCTGTGTCTGTGACCTGAGGCTGTGACCTGAGTCTGTGGCCTGAGTCTGTGGCCTGAGTCGGTGACCTGTGTCTGTGACCTGAGTCTGTGACCTGAGTCTGTGACCTGAGTCTCAGTAATATTCAGAGTTGACACGTTGCTTGATCCACTTGTTGTAATTTCACATCAAAATACACCTGTTTATCTTTGAAGAATTCATTTGATCTGAACACAACATACAATATCTATTATACAGTAATATATTGTAATTAAAAATATAACTCATTTACACAAGATACATTTTCAGTCAAATCTTTTTATTTGCTTTAACCCCTGGTGTAATGTTGTGTGTACTGTTGTGTGTACTGTTGTGTGTACTGTTGTGTGTAATGTTGTGTGTACTGTTGTGTGTAATGTTGTGTGTACTGTTGTGTGTACTGTTGTTTGTAATGTTGTGTGTACTGTTGTGTGTACTGTTGTGTGTAATGTTGTGTGTACTGTTGTGTGTACTGTTGTTTGTAATGTTGTGTGTAATGTTGTGTGTAATGTTGTGTGTACTGTTGTGTGTACTGTTGTGCATAATGTTGTGTGTAATGTTGTGTGTAATGTTGTGTGTAATGTGTTTATTGTTGTGTGTAATGTTGTGTGTATTGTTGTGTGTAATGTTGTGTGTAATGTTGTGTGTAATGTGTGCATTGTGTGTATTGTGTTAAAGTTGTGTGTATTGTTGTGTGTAATGTTGTGTGTATTGTGTGTAATGTGTGTATTGTGTTAAAGTTGTGTGTATTGTTGTGTGTAATGTTGTGTGTATTGTGTGTAATGTGTGTATTGTGTTAAAGTTGTGTGTACTGTTGTGTGTATGTTGTGTTTAATGTTGTGTAATGTGTGCATTGTTGTGTGTGATGTGTGTATTGTGTTAAAGTTGTGTGTATTGTTGTGTGTCTGCTGCAGGGATCTTCACAGCCCCAGTCAGAGGAGTGTACCATTTCCATCTTCATATTTTTGAAAACTTTAATGGAAGTTATTATGCGATAGTTTCTCTGGTGAAGAATGGATCTAAGATGGTCACAGCCCAGGAGTACCACCCAGGAAGTCACGGCTCCTCGTCCAACTCCGTGTCTGTGCTGCTGGAGGCGGGAGATGTGGTTTATGTGGTTCTCTGGAGCAGCAGACAGATTTTCGACAGCACTAATCACCACAACACGTTCAGTGGTCACCTGCTGTTCACCCTCTGACCTGTGACTTCTGACCTGTGACCTCTGACAGCATTAAAGGCTCTGCTCTGTATTGTCTTTGTTTCATTCTTTGTCAATCAACTTTTATGACACATGTCGCCTCAGGGGGCGGGGCCAGGAGGGAGTACACAAATACAGCTGATAAATATACAACAATAACAACCACACAGACACACACAGACACACTCTCTCTCTAATGAAAAATCAACACTAACATTTCTTGATATTATGCTCTATAAACAAACTAAATATATTAATGTTTCTCAGGTAAGTGAACCCCCTCACAGAACGCTCAGTGTAGAATCTGCTCCATCATATCTGTCCTCTCGTGTCTCCTCTTTGTTCTAACGGTGTCCAGTTCTCACACATGACAGAGGGTGATGTCACACTACACACACCTGGAGGTCCAGGCGTGACACTGGTCCATGGCGTGTCCAGGTGTGTCACTGGTCCATGGCGTGTCCAAGCGTGTCACTGGTCCATGGCATGTCCAGGTGTGTCACTGGTCCATGGCGTGTCCAGGTGTGTCACTGGTCCATGGCATGTCCAGGCGTAACACTGGTCCATGGCGTGTCCAGGTGTGACACTGGTCCATGGCATGTCCAGGTGTGTCACTGGTCCATGGCGTGTCCAGGTGTGTCACTGGTCCATGGCGTGTCCAGGCGTAACACTGGTCCATGGCGTGTCCAAGCGTGTCACTGGTCCATGGCATGTCCAGGTGTGTCACTGGTCCATGGCGTGTCCAGGTGTGTCACTGGTCCATGGCGTGTCCAGGTGTGTCACTGGTCCATGATGTGTCACTGGTCCATGGCGTGTCCAGGTGTGTCACTGGTCCATGGCGTGTCCAGGTGTGTCACTGGTCCATGATGTGTCCAGGCATGTCACTGGTCCAGGCGTGTCAAGGTGTGTCACTGGTCCATGGCGTGTCCAGGCGTGACACTGGTCCATGGCGTGTCCAGGTGTGTCACTGGTCCATGATGTGTCCAGGCGTGTCACTGGTCCATGGCGTGTCCAGGTGTGTCACTGGTCCATGATGTGTCCAGGCGTGTCACTGGTCCATGGCGTGTCCAGGTGTGTCACTGGTCCATGATGTGTCCAGGCATGTCACTGGTCCAGGCGTGTCACTGGTCCATGATTTGTCCAGGCGTGTCACTGGTCCAGGTGTGTCACTGGTCCATGGCGTGTCCAGGCGTGTCACTGGTCCATGATGTGTCCAGGCGTGTCACTGGTCCAGGTGTGTCACTGGTCCATGGCGTGGTCAGGCGTGTTTCAATCTGCAAAAGGAGTTAACCCCTCCCACCTGTCAACGGAGCTCAATGGAGCACCTCCAGACCTTAGTACGAAATGTAATTTGTACTATGGTGTGGTACGACCAGGCTACCTCTACAGTGGAATCAGCTCCCCACCCACGTTAAGGAAGCAGACACTGTCTCTACATTTAAGGCCAGATTTAAAACACTCTTCTTCAATTTAGCATTTGGTTAGGTTGTTTGTCCGGTCAGGTTTCGTCCGGTCTTGGAGTCTGCGTATGTTGGACCCGGTCCGCTGCACCTTCAACCCTACGTTCTAGGCTAGGTTTAAAACAGTCCTCTTTAGTTTAGCATATGGCTAGGAAGGTAAGACTCAAGGAAGGCTAAACTCCTCAGACTGTCAGTCAAGCTGCATAGGGAGCCCCCTGCTGGAGAAGTATGGTAACAGCACTATCCTCTTCTCCTTCCTACTTTACCTGTTTAGCGTTATTAGCATTTTGACTGTAGTCTGTTCATTGCTATTCACCCGTTGTCCCATTGTCTGTTTCATGGTACGACAACGGGAGCTCTGAACCTGGCCTCCTCCATCTGCACCTGCGGACTGCCCCGCCCGACCCGCCTGGGAGCGCTTTAGTCCTGTACAGGACCTGTCCTCGCTCCTTCTTATCTCCAAGACACGTTAGTGTCGTATCAACCAAGTCGAGCGTTGCGCTCACAAAACGCCAGACGTCTGGTGGTTCCTAAGGTCTCAAAAATCACTGTCGGCGGCAGAGCATTTAGCTCCAAGCTCCTTTACTGTGGAATCAGCTTCATTTATGTTAAGGCAAGGCAAGGAGAGGCAAGTTTATTTATATAGCACAATTCATACACAAGGCAATTCAAAGTGCTGAACAAAATAAGAAAGCATTACAATCATAAATAATCACAGAACATTAAAAAGAAAGCTAAAAATATAAAATCCCTCAGTTGTAGCACAGCTAAACAGAACTGCCTTTAACCTGGTTTTAAACATTGTCAGAGAGGAGGCCTGTCTCACATCTTCAGGAAGGCTGTTCCAGATTTTAGCAGCATGAATCTGAAAAGCAGCCTCCCCATGTTTAGTTCTGACTCTGGGCACTAACAGGAGTCCAGTCCCTGTGCTCCTCAGAGTCCCAGCAGGAGTCCAGTCCCTGTGCTCCTCAAAGTCCCAGCAGGAGTCCAGTCCCTGTGCTCCTCAGAGTCCGGGCTGGTTCATATGGGACTAACATGTCACTAATATATTTTGGTGCGAGGCCATGGAGAGACTTGTAACAAGCACAGCTGTTTTAAAGTCTATTCTCTGAGCCACAGGAAGCCAGTGCAGAGACCTGAGGACTGGATTAATGCGGTCGTACTTCCTGGTTCTAGTCAGGACTAATATGGTCGTACTTCCTGGTTCTAGTCAGGACTAATGTGGTCGTACTTCCTGGTTCTAGTCAGGACTAATGTGGTCAGGACTCGAGCTGCTGCATTTTGAATGTACTGCAGCTGTTTTACAGCCTGTTTGGACAGACCTGTGAGCAGGCCATTGCAGTAGTCTAACCCAGTGGTTCCCAAAGTGGGGGTCCCGACCCCACGGGGGGTCGCGGGAACCCCTGGGGGGGTCGCAAGATGATTTCCACACACAAAAAAAGACTATAATATATTTTAATAACGTTAGTAATTTTGTCCCAGTCATTGCAGCGTCAATCAAAATCATCACGTAACACAGCTCACGTCATGCGCAGCGACAAAGCGTGTCCTGCTGTTGTTTGCTAAAACTAAAGGTGTTTGGAGGCTACAAATAAATAATACCTGCTTTAAAATGAACCGTGGTTAATATCCACAACAGAAAAACCCGGAGGGGGAGAAAAGTCACTTGTATCAGGGGTCAGGCTGATGGTGCGAAGAGAGGGAGAGAGGGCAGAGGAGGGAGAGAGGGCAGAGGAGGGAGGGAGGGCAGAGGAGGGAGAGAGGGCAGAGGAGGGAGAGAGGGCAGAGGAGGGAGAGAGGGCAAAGGAGGGAGAGAGGGCAGAGGAGGGAGAGAGGGCAGAGGAGGGAGAGAGGGCAGAGGAGGGAGAGAGGGCAAAGGAGGGAGAGAGGGCAAAGGAGGGAGAGAGGGCAGAGGAGGGAGAGAGGGCAGAGGAGGGAGAGAGTGCAGCGGAGGGAGGGAGGACAGCGGTAGAACAGCGCGTTAAAGAGGCCCGGCTTTTCGGAGTCAAAGGTAAAGAGGTCCGCACATTAAAAGTGGGTGGGCCGGTTTATGCCTTTACTGACAGTAACTTTGGAAAGAGAAGCCGCGGGGATGAACCGCGTAAAGTAACAGCAGAAAGCGGCCGCCCGCTTTTAATGTGCGGACCTCTTTACCGCTGACTCCGGAAAGCCGGCCCACTTTACCGCGGTAGGAGAACAGTGAGGGCGAGCCGCAAGAAATGCGCTCCACTTCTGCTGAGGAGGGAGCCCACCAAGCCCATCACTGTGTCACTACATGAGTAAAAATATGCAAGCCTCCTTTTTTGGGCTGGACAGTGCAGCTCGGTAGTGGCGTGAGTCTCTAGAAAGCGTTACTCCGTATCAAGGAAATACATGCTCATTTCATGTGACGGAAGGGCTGTTGGGGGGGGGCGGGGGTGGCGGGTTAGCAGGGCATTTATGATGGGGGTCGCGGGCTAAAAACTTTGGGAACCCCTGGTCTAACCTACTGGAGACAAATGCATGGATAAGAATCTCCAAGTCTGCTTTAGACACTATGTTTTTGATCCTGGCAATGTTTTTTAGATGGTAAAAAGCTGCTGATGTTACTTTTTGATTTGATGTGGCTATTAAAATTTAAGTCTGAGTCCATTATTACCCCTAGATTTCTGACCTTGTTTGAAGGTTTTAGGGAGAGAGACTGTAGGTGACAGATGTATTTTCTTTTATGCGCCTTCTTCAAACAGTTGCAGAGTCCACTGGTGGTTTGTTAGTGAAACACATGTCAAAAAATACACAGAAATGATCCGAAAGAGCAACATTGACCACGTTTACATTTGAAATATTCACCCCCTTAGTAACTTGCCTTAGATTTATTTACCACAATGTACATTGTAATATTCAAAAATGCTAACACCTATTAACGGTTTAATTAGCATTTTTATCAATGATTGCATCACATGTAGTCTATGTTTTCAACTTCTGCAGCTTTTTGTTCATAAAAGTAAAATATTTATTTAATTCAAGTTATTTTGATTAGCATTTATGGATATTACAATGTACATTGTGGTAAATAAATCTAAGGCAACCAAAGTGAGACTGGCATAATGTAAAAACGAATATTAGCCTTGTTAGCACGTTTTATGATATCAAGTAGAGTTAGCTAACTTGCCCAACACTAATTAGCTTGAATCTCACAAATAAGGCTAAAAGGTTAAAAGAGTTGCACACTATTATGTACAAAACTGATGAAAATATGTTTATACCTTGTTCAGATGACAGTGAAACCTCCTACAGATTCAGCCCAGACTGCTGCTGCTGCTGTGAGATGCCCTTCTCCTACGTCATCGCCGCCATTTTGGCTCCCCCTAGCGTTTGTGAAAAGGTCCGACTTCAAAGCTGTTTTTTTAACATAATTAATCTGAACATATCAAAATGAACACCCGAAATATCATAAACACATATTGTAGTTATATATTCTGGATAGCAGCATATTAAATTCTAGTACTACTTTAAGATTGAGACTTTGCCTGCGTCAGTGTTCAGCCGGATATTGTTTGTAACCTTAACGAGAGCAGTCTCAGTGCTGTGGTGT